TCTTTAGAAATGTTTTCTAATCCAACAGGTTAACATGTTCCCAGAACTCCTAACTCCAAACCGTACACAGTTTTTCCACAGCTATGGTTTGATATTCTTAAAAGCAGGATATTTGGCTTATATAACTATGTCTTCCCATAACACATGGTATTATGTGTTGCATATAATAAATGCTAATATTTATGGCATGTAATGAATGCTAAGTGAATACTGACTGAACAGATGTCTGAATTATAGCAACTAAGAGCTAAACTTTACAAAGTCTACCAAGTGGCTGAGAGAGGGAAATTTCAAGGTGGAACAAAGTCGAGTAGTATCCTAATGAAATGGGTATTTTCAGACATGCCTGTTTATTCCCTATCCTCTTTTGTGCCTCTGTTTTTGTCTTTGCACTTGCTAACATTGAACTGACTGCTTTACTAACATATCTGGTATGTAAGTTAGAATACAGCAGGGATTTTGTTTCTTTTTGTTGTCGTTGGTTTATCACTAGTGTCAAGAATGCGACCAGAAAAGTACCATTTGTAGGCCAAGTCTAACCCACAGCCTATTTTTTTTCTAATTAAAATTTTATTGAACACAGCCACTCTCATTAATTTACATATTCTCTATGACTGTTTTGGTTTTTTTTTTCAACAACAGCAGAATTGTTGTGACAGATACTATGGTTCACAATGCTGAAAATATTTACGATTAGCCCTGTTTGTAGAAAATCCTTTTTCAACTCTTAGTCTAGAGCAATGCTTGACACCAAGTAGATATTCAGGAAATGTCTGCTACATGAATGAATGAAATAATAAATAAATGAGTCAGATGCAAACTGAGGTAACACTTTACCATCCCTGCCCCAGAGGTCTTATGAGATTTTGAAATGTTTGGAGACCCTGAAAAAGATGAAAAGTCCTATTTCTTGATGTATAGGGGTCCCAGAGTCCTGTGGAAGAAAATTTGGATTTAGTCCACAACTGGGGACTGATTTGTATAAATCTTTTGTCATGGGCTAGTGTCTCTAAAAAAGTTTAGACCAGAGAAAAAGAAGTTAATGAGGTTCCTGAAAAAAAAGAAAATCCCACTGAGTAAAGAAATCTGGTAAGAGTAAGTAGACTACACATGCAAGCTATTTGGGAGAGGTAGTTATTTTGAATAATAAACGTCTGTGTGTAACATTTCCCTGACCAAACCACCTTGAGGAGGATTGTGCTGCAATATTTAGAATGGAACTACACATTTCACTGTGGACCCTAAGAATAGGCTGTGAAAATCTTCTCTGAAAGAGCTGGTTGAAGGGAACAGCATTTTTTGATTTTGTTGTCGTTGTGTTTTGTTTCTCTTTCTGTTTTTTTGTTTTGTTTTGTTTTGTTTTCCTAGCTGACTAAAGAGGGGGGAAAGCTTTGGTTGTTTCTATTTTGGTAGAAGTGAACACTAAATTATGGGCTGGACTACAGTGGTCAAGAAACCAAACGGGTGTTTGGGACCTTAGAATCTAGGCCTGAGGTATCGCAGAGCTGTAGGCAGCAGCTCTGATTATATATCAGAACCCCCTGTTGGAAATAATTGGAGTGTGGTATCTCTGAAAAAGACTGGTTGTCTGCCTCATCAAGTTGATAGGAGCTTATTGCATTGAGATTTGGAGTATTACTGGAAATGGAACAGAGTTTTACTTACTGGTTGGTGATGCCAGAGATATTCTGGATCCAATATCTGTTAAATCTCAAAAGAAATGAAGATTTCAGTTTAATTTTTCATGGTTAAAAAAACTGAAAGGAATGTATTATACAATAAAAAACCATTGAGGATTTAACACTAATTAATTTCAGTTTGATTTCACATAATAGCCAACTCCAGAAAAACTCCTGTGTCCTGCAAACTCAGGAACTATTTAAAAATCACAAAGTACATTGAAGGTTTTCTGTCAAGTTAATTTGGATTCAGGCTTTACACAGTAGCAATAGACTGTGAGATAAAAAAGAGGGTTAAACTATACGGATGTTACACAATTTCCAAACATGATTGTGTTTTGCTCTTTTTTCCCTTGGAAATGAATCTGCCCTGAAACACATACACAGACCCTTGACTCTGCCCTCAGCCTTGTCTCATGGCTCAGCCGTCAGTAGTGTTCATTGTGCATTGATTGGGAGAAACACATAAGCCAAACCTTTCTATTCCTTGAAGGAGCACAGCTCACACTGCAGGCAGTAAATAATGACACAGAATCAGAACAAACAGCAGCTCCTGTGGTGTGCAGGACAGCAGGTGTACCTTGCTAGAAAGTTAGAAACTCAAGAATTTGGTCTCTGATGGCAATAGGCATGGGTTACTGGGAAAGACGAAGCAATGTGGACTTGTATCCCACAGACATGACCAACATACTCATTAGAAGAGTGAAAAGACAGAGTGAAATTCTGAGGAGCTATGTGGATTGTATAGTGAACATGAAAAAAGAAAAATAGAGAAAGACAAAGAATGAGAAAGGGAAGAGAACCTGTCTTTTGTCTAGGGAGAAAAAAAGTGTCAAAAACCTATGTAGCAACAACAGGGTGTGTTTCTGAGTTGCTCCTGGGAACCTAAAATACACATGCTATTTTCTCTTTATTATATTCTTTTCCTTAATTTTTTTTATTCCTACTCCTGCTTTCCATATGAAGGGATGAAAAATAGAACTAATTCAGGGCTAAAAACAATTTTTAAACATTTATTGAATACTAACATTGAGCAGAGAACTGAAATAAACACTTTGGACATAAGGAAAAACATTCCTTCTCTGAAATTCACAGCCTCCTTGCAGAATAAAAGAGGTAAAGAATTACAATACAGAGCAAGAGTACCAATTAGTTACCCTATTCCCATGATCCCAAAATATTCAGTTCCTATCTTTACACTTATTACACAGCATTTTGTGGGATAGTTCTATAATTTAAATAGGCCTCTGGCTTTAAAGACAAATGCTGCTCTTTACTTGATTCTGAATTTTTTACATGTGTTACAAAGAAATTATTGAATTCTTTCAGAATCTGTAAGAAATGAAATGTTTATTTGCTGAACAGTTTACCTGACCTTTCATTTGGTTCAGTTTTCTTTTTTTCTCCGTTTTACATCCTTATCATTGATATAGGATTTGTATTTTTTTTTTATCTGGGTCATTTGGGATAAAGAAAAAAAACCTTGAAGATGTCATGATGTTTTTTCATGCCTGTCTCTCTCTCTTGGTATAGATACATAAAAATTCTGATCCAAGGAGGGAGCATAGTTTTGGAAAAAAACAAAAAAACAAAATTCTGTGTTACCCATTCTTGTCTTCATCTAGCTAATTTTGGAAACAAATGCTTTAGAAAATAATTGTGCTATTGTTTCATTTGTAATTTCTGTATTTTCTGAGTTGAGAACAGTGATAAAAAATATGAGATACTGGGGAAAGGGATTCAGCAAGTACTGGTCCTGTTCTTCTCTCTTTTGGTATTTTCCATGACAATACTAAGTCACAAACTATAAGAAAAAATCTATGGCATTAGTGATTAAAAAGTGATTATCCACAAAGTGTTTCAGCTTTTTCATTGATTGAATAGAGTTTCATGACAAGATTCCTGTTGGTAAGACTTGTAGACCCTTTAATTTACTTGGCAAATGGAAAGATAGTCATTCTTTTGAGAATTATCAGCAATCTATCAAATTTTACCCATCAATGGTAAATGAGATTGTTTCTATCTCTTGGTAGTAAAAAGCTTTATTTATTTATTTTTTAAGGAAAGACTTTTTGTTTTTCCCTCTGCTCCATTTTTTTTCATAAAATAGAACACAATAGAGTAGTTCTTTTTGTTTCCTATAAAGTCATTGGCTATTTACTGGGAAGCCATAACAAACTGGATTTCATAATACCTAACTGGAGTCTCATGTTTTGGGAAACCACTGTCAAAGGAGAAAAGCCAATAGTGACAACTGCTCTGAACAAAAATATAAGCTTAAAGGCAAAAGCTTGCTAAAGGCCCTATTATTTAACACTAGTTGTTTTCACCTTTCTTCAACAAAGAAATGTTATTATTAATGACTGTCATCATTAATAAAATGTTATTTGCAGACAACTCCCCAGTTTATTTAATGGGTGCTCTTTTTATCTTTGTCATTATCCCTATGTCTTACAGATTCATTAAAATGTATTCCATAAAATGAGTCATTGCATTTTAATATTTTATAAATGTAGTTAGGTAGATAACTAGCCATCCCTGCCCTTGTCAATAAGCAAAAATTTAACAATTGAAACAATCTTTTTCTTGGAGTGTGATTTTAGTACAAATGAATAACAAAAAACTTCATTGTGAGTTTCAAATCAAGTCACTGCAAACATACTTCTTTTCATAGAAAAAAAGGGCAAGAATCTTTCTTCCTTACTTTCATAGGCTCACATATAATATTAAGGAAATGAAAATCTACTTATATTTCTTTTCAGAAAGTGTACCTCATGTTATTTGCAAATTGATCAGGTAATGGAAAAAGACTCATTTAAGTGAGAAGCAACAGCTGATTATAAAACAAAACAAACAAAATGCAAAGCCTGTAATTCTTGACTCAAAGAATGAGTCAAGAGTTACAGATATTTTCATTGAAATACCATCTCATGTCAGTTAGAATGGCGATCATTTAAAAATCTGGAGACAACAGATACTAGAGATGATATGGAGAAATAGGAACACTCTTACGCAGTTGGTGAGAGTATAAATTAGTTCAACCATTGTGGAAGACAGTGTGGTGATTCCTCAAGGTCCTAGAAATAGAAATTCCATTTGACCTTGCAATCCCATTACTGGGTATATACCCAAAGGATTATAGATCATTCTATTGTAAGGACACATGCACATGTATGTTCATTGCAGCACAGTTTACAATAGCAAAGACCTGGAACCAACCCAAATGCCCATCAATGATGGACTGGACAAAGAAAATGTGGCACATGTACACCATGGAATACTATGCAGCCATTAAAAATGATGAGTTCATTTTCTTTGTAGGGACATGGATGAATCTGGAAACCATCATTCTCAGCAAACTGACACAAGAACAGAAAACCAAACACTGTATGTTTACACTCATAGGTGGGTGTTGAACAATGAGAATACATGGGCACAGGGAGGGGAATGTCACACACTAGGGTCTGTTGGGGGTTGGGGGACTAAGGGAGGGACAGTGGGGAGTGGGGAGGTTGGAGAGGGATAATACTGGGAGAAATGCCTGATATAGGTGACACGGGGATGGAGACAGCAAACCACCATGGCATATGTGTACCTATGCAACAATCCTGCAAGTTCTGCACATGTACCCCAGAACTAAAAGTATAATAACAAAAAAAGAAATAGCATAAATATCTTGGTTAAAGTACAAGGACATAGAATCTATTATGTGCCTGTGATCATGTCTAGCACAAATATCTAGCTAAAACACAAGGACAAAGAATGTACTTACTCCTTTATATCTAACAGCTACATAGGATAGAACTTAACAAAGAGTCACTAGGGAAAAGCAAGAAGGCTTCAATGAAAGTCTTTTTAAAAGAGACTATTATTTATAACATTTATTATTATTATTTAACAAGAAAGAAAACTTTGAAGAAGAACTTTTCTACTTTCCATACCCTTTCTACAGAAAGTAAAATTGGCTTGCTGAGAAAAAAAAAAAAAAGAGAGAGAGAGAAGATTTACTGAGTGATTAGGAGGCAGAATCATGGTTATTGTGGTAAGAAAAGTAAATTTTATTTTGATAATCAAAACTGTATCATCATGAGAGTGCTACTGAAGTAGAGTTATATGGATTTATAGTTGAAAAAATAGGGAAAGACAAAGCAGAGTGACAGAGAACACACTTGATTGCATATGTTCATTCAGTGCTATAGGGAAGGGAAAAGAAAACTGAGAATCCAGAAACTAGGACCAAACAATTTTAGATCAGAATATCAGATGGAAATAGGGAACTGTGGGAGGAAACTGGAGGGCATCCAGGAGATCTGGTGCTGGTAAATCAAACAACTGATAGAGGCATATCTTCTATCATTCATCTTCTTTGTGACATATGAAAGCTGAGAATACCAATATGTGGGACAATGAAAATTCTATAGGTGAAAGAAAGGTGAAACAATGTAAGAAAGGTGTTTTGGGAGTTAATCTGAAGTGAATGATAGGCTGAATAATAGCAGTAAAAAGGATACATGTCAAGATACTAAAATTAGGTGTTCCAACTTGTTTAGCTTGTTCTTTATAATATGTATATATTTTCTTCTTTCGAATATGTATTGAGTGTTTATTATGAGTTAGGCAGAATGGTAACCATTTTACATGCATAATTACATTTGATCATTTTCATAAATCTATACATATTATAATTCCTCTCAATTTATAATTCCTCTCAATTAAGAAGCTGAGATTTAGAGTGATTACACACTTTGCACAAAATCCCATATAGAGGAAGTGCAGACAAGGATTCAATATCTAGGCTTGTTTATTATAAAGTTGATGTTCTTAATTATTTTTCTATATTGCCCTTTTATGCTGTAATGAACATATTAGTAGTATTAAAAACCTGTCAGATACCTGGAGCATAGTCAGGTGGTTCCTTTGTGAATCAGAATCATATTTTAAAGAGGTTTATGCTAGATCTTCTGAATGAAAATGTGTAGAAGTGGGAACAAAGCATGCAGAGATTTTAAAAGCTACACATGTGAGTTCTAAAATACCCATTGAAAATAGGTAGAGAATAGGACTCAGACTATTTTCCGAAGGAGATTTAAACTGCATCTGAATTATTTGTGATTTACATATGAAAAGAAGCTCAGCCTCATTCGCCATCTAGAAAATGCAATTTGAAACCACAGTGAAATACTATTTTACATCCCCCAGAATGACTAAAATAAAAAAGACTGATATTAACAAGTGTTGACAGAGATGTGAAACAGAACTGTTGGTGTGTATATAAAATGGTACCATCCTTTTGGAAAAATGTTTGGTAGTTTCTTATAAAGTTAAAAACAGCTGCATTATTACTTAGAAATTGCACACCCAGATATTTACCTAAGATAAATGAAAATGTACCCACAGAATACATGTACATGAATAACCATCTAATTCATAGAAATCAAAAACTGAAAACAACTCAAATATACATAAATAAGAGAATAGATGAGTAAATTGTTGACTATTCAGATATTAGAATATTATTCAGTAATAACTAAGAATAAATCAATGATACATGCAATGCAGACAAATCTTGCGGACCTTCTGGTGGGCAAAAGAAATTAGATGATTCCATTTATATGAAGTATGAGAATAGCCCAAACTATTTATGGTAAGAGAAATCAGAAGTTCTTCCTTCTTCTGTGTGTGGAGAGGAACAAAGACTGATGGAAAGGAGCATGAAAAGCTTTCTGGAGTGAATGGAAATCTATAACTTGTTTTGGATGATGATTACACAACAGTTGTCAAAATTCATTGCTTTGAACACTTAAGATTGGATTGGTGCATGTAAATAATGCTTAAGTTTTAAAAAGTATGTAGTTTCTATTATCACCTCTTTTGTCCATTTACACAAAAGAAAAGTGAGGCTCAGTAAAAATGGGTAAGATGACATGGATCTCACATCTGAGAATTTTCATAATTATCCAGGTCTGCTGATTTTGAGTCCCATGCCTTTTTCACTCTCCAGTTGTTTTCATGATCTTACCTCTCCTTGACAATGTTTTTATGTAATTAGCAAAAGAAACAAATAAACTGCCCCATGTTTTCAATAATATAAGTGTTTAATTGAGAAAATTGCAGTGGCTAATGCATCAAAATTAACTAGTTTTTGTGCTATTTTGAACAAATATCTACTCATCATCAACTCTAAAACTCTCTTGGTATCGGTAACACTAGCCTCAGTGTGCAAGAGTAGTCAATTATTTTTTTCTGGGTACCAGAATGTATCCTCTGGAAACAAACAGGGAAGATGACTTGGCACGTTTCTCAGGATTATATTTTATGTTTAAGGAGTTCCTCCCACACTGGTAAATGTAATGAATAGAGTGCATTTCATTTCATTGAATCACTTCTGTAGACATTCACAAAAGATCAGCTTCTGTGCACTTCAGTCAGACACACAGTTATGAAAGTGCCATAAAACCTGTGTGATCACCACCTGCATGTAAAAAATGCCAGCAATAACTTACCAAAATATTTCCACTGAAAATATGACTTTGACCCAGATGGCAAAATAGGCTGCATTGGCCATAAATCTGCAGGCAGTAAATGGGCAGGTGGTAAATCTGCTATCATTGCTACTGTTTTCTCAACACTTTATCTGTACAGCCTTTTCTTAAGGATATAAAAATTCAGGAAATATGGAAGAAGAAGCAAAACATGGACTAAAAACTGGTGTGAAGCTGTAAGTTTCTTGAAATTTAGGTAACCTGTCCTTATAGTGTAGGCTCAGGTCTGAGATGCTACAAAGTACAAAGAAATGTGTGCTGAGAATAGAGGATAAAACATATTAAAATTGCCAAGTCAATTTCTATCAGTTTTGGCAGCAAGGATCACCTGGAAATGCAAAGTGTGTTTTATTTTTTACATAGAAAAGCAAATATTATCTAAACACTAAAAGTTGATTTACCTCTCAACTTAAACTTATCACAGTTGCTTCTACTCAGAATGAGAGAAAGGATGTAACAAGGTTATCATAGATATGGTGGAATAAAGGAGAGTCAATTTAGAAATAATTTGTGATCATACTTAGATTTGGAAACAAGATCACACTTCATTGAGTGGAGATTTGTTTTTCTCCATAAGGGAATGGATGTCTTACTATTCATAATTCTGTGAAGAAATGTTTAATTCTGGGCAAAAAAAATGATGCAGAAATTTGGGCTCTGGAGGAAGCATCTCCATTATTCTACATTGGGACACTTGAGCCTTATTCTGAAGTATGCATTCTAGAGATCAAGGGCTGTTGCTGTGTTTACACAGAGGTAGGTTAGGAATGCCACCCATTAATTACTAGACCTGTGTATTCTTCCCAACAGAGACACTGCAACATATAAAGATCTTTGACTCAATGCATAGTCTAGATTTTGGAGGATGGCATTCTCTCATCTCAGACTATTGCCTGCAACCTGGTATTTCAGCTGTGCTTTCAGCAGGCTTTCTAACACATTTTAAGGTCAGCAGTGTGGATGAAGTATGCAGTACAACCATTGGATCCTGTGTTCATAAGTCTATTCATGCATTTCTTTGACTGTAAAAGAGGTACATGAGATTCCATGCTAGTGGCCCAAACACAGTGATCCTGTAATAGTGGAACTGGCTAAGGAATGAAAGAGCATAGCTCTACATAGAATGAATCTATTCCTGTGAGAACAAACCACTGACCTTTCCAGAATGCAAGGGAAACAATGCAGTCAACCTGTCCTCATGTGTCCAATCTTCTCAAGCAATGGTGCCATAATGAGGGCTCAGGATTAGCTTGTTGTGGGCAGTTGGACACTCAGCAGCAACAGGAGCTAGATCAGCCTTGACAGGTGGGAGCTGATGCTGTTGGAACCATGTGTAGTATTCATATTTGACATCACGGACTCTTTATGTATATGCTGATTGTTCCAGCACTCATGGAACCAATGATAGAGGCTGGCCGGCAGTGGCTGGCTAGATCATTTTGTTCCTAAGGCTGTTAAATGCCTCTTTCATTGCAGATGTCCTAAGGTGGATATCAACATACAATACATAGATATTTTTACTTTGTGAAAGTTCTATATGTCCCTCGATGTGTTTCTACCTCATTAATCCTTATCTGTGACATTCTAGTCTTTTGCTTCCAGGCCATTTGCATAGGCCACTTCTTGGCTACATTTTGTGCCACTTATCTTTCCACATGAAGTAGGAGACCAGTTGCGCTGCCTAAAGCCCTCAATCACTGAAAGAATTTTCCCTCGCTACTGTCTTTCTAGCATACGGTACAAGTTTATAGTGTAGCTACTATCCATTTTTGGCTCACTGTCACATACAAAGAAAACCCTTCTGAAAACCGAATTGAAATCACTTCCCCCTTTGTTAGTTGGTCAAACTTGACCTCCCATGTG